AATACTTCCCGCGATGTGAAGTAATCCTAAGAATCAAATTAAAAAATAATGAAAAATACACGATGGAAACCAAATTGTTTGTTTGTTTTAGTAGAGGTTTTACTGCGCTCGCAACTGCATAAGGTCAAATGAGCGCCAGAAGATTAGAGGTGTCACAAGAGAGTGACAAACATAAAAAAAGAAAAAGGGGAGATAAGGACGATTGATGTTTCATAGGAAAGAAGAAGCAAACCACACCAAAGCACCCGCCAACTACCCACCAACAGAGACAGCTACGGACAAGGAGGCACCTAGGAGGGACACAAACATTTATAATTTATAATATTATGACGCCCTGGTTCAGCTGTAAGAAGTGAGAAGCGAAACGGTCAAAGCTCCTGACTGCACAGACGTAGGGAAAACAGGGGGACTTACAAGCGTCTCTTTCTGATCTGGACAAATTTCTGAGCCACAGCCGTGTAAGGAAATTCTGTTGCAATTAATATAATAATGGACATTTTGAGCATTCCTTAACCCTATCCGTACGTCATGTTTTACTATCGTATCCATACGCCGAGGGAAACTCTGTGCCATCACTTTCCAAAGAGGAAATTTACTCGTTAATCCAATCCGTACACTTTGCATAGCAGTCTGTCAAAATGACTTTTGAGAAATACTGAATGTGAAGAATACAACCCCGGGGGTACAAAACGACCCCAGGGCGTACGGATACCTAAGCCATTTTTGAGAAGCAGCATTAACTAACAGTTTGATACAGTTATAAATACAATAAATTAATGCTCTTGTGTAAACTCGCACGTTTTTAAGGAAAGAAGTTGTTTGCCGTTTGTCTCACAAGTTGTGTGAAACTTAAGCTAGCTAAGCTCTTTGAAGGCTGGAAAATACTGCGGTGTTACATTCTGCAGGGCAGGACAATAAAGGGGAGTTATTTTCTGCGGGACTGGACAATACCGGGGTGTTACTTTTCATGGGGCTAGACAATACCGGGGCGTTACTTTCCACAGGGGTTAGACAACACCAGGGTGTTACTTTTCATGGGGCTGGGCTGGGACAATACTAGGGCGTTATTTTCCACAAGGGCTAGATAATACGCGTTACTTTCCACAGGGGCTAGACAATACCGGGGCGTTACTTTTCATGGGGGCGGGACAATACTGGGGCGTTACTTTCCATGGGGCTGGGCTGGGACAATACCGGGGCGTTACTTTCCACAGTGGCTAGACAATACCAGGGCGTTACTTTCCATGGGGCAGGACAAATCTCAAAACTGTGAATGATGCTGCTCAAGAGACCATAAAAAAAGACGTTAGTTTTAATAAAAATCACTCATAGTTGGTCGCTTTTAAGCACAAGGGGGGCTATCCCGAAAAATGTGGTCTTGAGAGAACCGAAGGTAAGGTTTTTGCCCTTTGTTCAGTTTCTTTAAAAGACAAGGAGAGTTTTCTCTATAACCAAACCAATATACACACCAATGAACCCAAACTTCTCCTATAGGTAGGGCAATTCCTCCTTTAGGAGTAGGCCAAGATTCCTGGAAACTCCCAAAATATGGGTTAGCCCGCTTGTCCTTAAAAGCTATCAATTATAGTATCATACGGCTTCTGCCCTGCCTTTGACAATGTACACACATGCACTGTGTACATATACCTGTCCCCGTGGTTTTATGCACCCCGCATAATTTAGCAAAATTTGATCATTTTTTGCGTAATTTCTGATTGTTTTCCGTTATCATTCTTTGTTAAAGTTAACAGAATCTAATAATTTCACATTTTCGGGCCCAGTTGGCAAAATTTCAGAATTTTTCTTGCATATAACGACAGGGACACGTATGTGTTGACACATATCTACATAGATCAATTTACCCATCCATCTACCCACACACATATGTTTAGTCAAGAGTTTTACGGTGCTCGCAACTGCATAAGGTCGTATGAGCGCGCATACACATGTGCACACCACAGGCATGAACACAAACATCAAACACATCAGGCTTGCTTCAAATGAGGTTAGGCAAGGGAAAAACTTTTTACAAATTAATATGTCGTCATTTCATAACTTGTGCAGTCAACTGAAATATTATCGCACACATACATTCATACATATACATACATACATACTTACATAAACAAACATACATACATACATACATACATAAACAAATACACACATACATACATACATACATACATACATACACACATGCAAATGCACAAAGCAATCAACCACGCATTTAAAGCAGAGCACAGCGACACACCCACAATTATGCCGTGACTTAATTAATATCGTTTCAGGACCGCCCTGCGTTCATATCCTACGAGACTGGCAGAATCATTCACAAAGACGCATGCACATATATCATGAGTGCATGTCGACAAGGGACACATAATTAATTAAGTTAATGAATATTTATAACATCTTAGAAGGCCGGGGGGGAAGCACCTCCCTCTTGTGTCCAGTTACTGTGTGTAGTCTACTTCCCTCTGCCTGCATTCCTCTGATTAAGGCCTGGGAAAGAACAAGGAAAAGAAAGAAAAAAATTAAATACTGGAAAAGATAGTATGTATTGGTAGAGGTTTTACGGCACTCGCAACTGCATTAGGTCATATGAGCGCCAGAAGATTAGACGTGTTACAAGAGAGTAACAAACATAAAAAAGGAGAAGGGGGAGACCAGGACGATAGACGTTTGATAGGAAAGAAGGAGCCAACCAGACCAGAGCACCCGCCAACCACCCACATTTACAGTAATTTGAAGAAAAGCCCATCATTACCACAATCTCCATGGACACCTTGCATTGACACCATACTACATGAACTAGTCATTGACACCATACTAAGAATACTACGTACTAGTCATTGACACACAATCATCACCAACACCACAATACACTACAATACGAGGGAAGTATTGCTTACAGACGTAAGTCATTTTTGGTGGCCTTTGAGATACGCCTGTACGCAAGACACTACAGAAGTGGTAAGTAAGCTGGCAAAACACCTTTTTTTTTTTCAAAGCAGTTTTAAGATAAAAAGGATATTTGTCAGAATAATCATTTAAAAATAGATCTAGAGTCATTCCGAAATTTGAATTCTAATTTATTGAAAAATTAGTTTCAATTTTGATTTTTTCACACAGGTAATCTGACAAGGTTTTCCATTTAGCAAACAAAAACTTTTGGCGCCAAAATGAAGAAATGCATGTCAGCTTACGGCAGAATAGTCATTCAGTGCTGGACGATACAAGTACAAGGCTGTCCTTGTGGTTTTATGCACCCTGTATAATTTCGCAAAATTTGATCATTTTTTGGTATATTTTCTGATTGTTTCAAGGCTGTCCTTGTGGTTTTATGCACCCTGTATAATTTAGCAAAATTTGATCATTTTTTGTATAATTTCTGATTGTTTTCCTTGTCCATTCTTCGTTAAAATTAACAGAAGAGCATAATTTCACATTTTTGGGCTCAGTCTGCTTAATTTCAGAATTATTTTTGCTTAAAACTGCGGGGACAGTACAAGGCAGACATGCTGAACAACAGACAGACAGGGACACAGGGGGGGGGGAGGGGATTTACTAGTCCAGAAGAAGAATCTACCAGTGGTGGCATTTCTCTCTAATGCCCCAAATGGCCCATTCACCAATTGTCCAATTTACAAAGCAAGCAACTAAAAGAGACACTTGCACACTCTACAACTAAACCGTATGCAAGCGTACGAAGAGAAGTCCTGAATAAACAAGAAATAATCCCAAGCCTCCAAACATACAGAATACATTTCTCTTACTTTGGAAATATTTCAGTAACATTACAAAATTTCCCACAAACAACAATTAATTGAATAAGCAAGGTAGTAGAATAATAATCTCAGAGAAAAGTAATTGCACGTCAAAAACTCTTTAAGCAATTTGTAAAAAGTTAAAAGTTTGCATAATAATCAAAACAAAAACAATTCATGTTTAAGAGGCAACTGCAAAGGTTTTCATTTAGTTTTAGTAAGAGTTTTACGCCACTCACAACACAATAAGGTCATACATAATATAAGTGCCGAAGACCAAAGGTTTGACAAGAACAGAGTAAGATAAGAAACACGAAAAAGAAGGAGGGGAGATTATAAGGACGATAGCTGTTTGATAGGAAAGATGAAGCAAACCACACCAGAGCACCCGCCAACCACCCATGATTAGAGAGTGGCATACATAGAAAAGAAGAAGACATAAGGAAGATATAATAATATATCAGGCTTGCCAACTTTTGAGATACTGAATTCTGGAATTTTGATTGCTCCTGAGCGCCACGGACACACACTTCTACTTCTGTGATAGGCTACATAAAAAAAAAACACCCACACCACAAAAACAGCTTAAACAAACCAATGGAGAAACAGAGAGAGAGAGAGAGAGAGAGAGAGAGAGAGAGAGAGAGAGAGAGAGAGACAAAGAGACAGAGAACAGACTGCCAGAAGACAGACACAATCACAAAGACAGATACAAAACCAGACAGTCTGTGACAGAGAGAGGGGAAATTCAGAGACAAAAGATCTCTATTTATCAGAAGTGAAACAGAGAGAAAACTTGAGTTTGTAGAAAGAGAAATGTGAAAAGCCCTGAGTCGCAGTCAGATCTCAGTTCCCACTACCAACACGTTACTAGACTCTTAAGCCATGAGTCGGTTCGTTCATAAAACAAAATCACTATCAAAGATGTCAACTTAAATTGTATGGAAGGGATATTCACATGCGAAACCTTTTTCTATAAACATATCACTTGACATGCAAATCTTTTTGTCTA